ACCTCTGTGTCGCACAGTCCCTTGATAAAACCTCTCGACCCCTGTCTAGTCCATGTGGACTAGCTTTTCCTCACCACAATCGATGTCTGTATGTAGGACAAGAAGAGGTCTTGCTTTATGGAGCACACACGAACCAGGAGGCCCTTTGTTCCACACACTGAGTGACTCAGGATAACCTGAGGGTATCACCCACCGGCTTATGACTGCACTGTTCCCCGTCAGCTCTCTTCTGGAAAACACATCTTATTTCCTCTCCATAAATGAAGATGAGACAGCCTAAATTCCAGTGTATTTCCACTCTCAGAGCACAACTCACTGGCCTGAAGATGAGCATCTGATTTGAGGTGGGCCTGTGCATTAGTCAGATTTCCAGTGACTGAAACCCCTGAATTGTGAGCCAGGACCCTCACAGCACATTTCCCTTTCTGTCAGTGGAGTTCAACTGGGATTCAAACCATGTGGAGCCAACAGTCCTGGCCAAGCCTGTGTGACCACAATGAAACGGCATACGATTCTTGTAGAGGAAAACTGGCCAGTATAAAGAAGGTAAGGAGAAGAAAACAGTATCAGTATAGGAGTAGAATGCTCTTATTTCACATCTCAGCTTTTACGAGCTATCTCAGGTTATATAAAAAACCTCTGGGAGTCAGTTTCCTCACCATAATATGAGAATGGGACAGGATCTCTAGAGTTCTCCTGAAAATCAAAGACGATGCTGGATAGAAGGCTCCCAGCACGCTGTGGGCACCCAACACAAGATGGGTGCTTTTACACTCTCATCAGGCATTGACATGAGCCAGGCTTTGAGCCAAGTAATCCACAAATGTCCCCAAACTGCCACAGTGACAAAGGCAACATTAGACCTGTGTCACAAATGAGCAGGTCCTGGAGAACTAAAGTCACTAAAGTCACTCAGCCAAGACAAGGTCACTGCGACATGTAATTCCCTACCTTTCTTAGGTTTTATTAACTTCCTCATATTGTCTTAAACCCTGAAAAGAGCCATGTCTGATGACCATGCTGTCTTTCAAAACTCTCCTTAGGAACTGCTCCAACCTGGGGTGATGGGGGTGAGCTTATTCTGCCTGGAGCTATGGTATCAGGACCAGGTAGCCTTCACTAGAAAGATCAGCACATTTTGTGTGTTTCAGGCCATGAGAGGTTGATGGGTCATAGGAGCCAAAGTTAGTTAAAGTTAACCTTCTAAATTCTTTGTAGCTCCTTAAAATGCTTAACAATGACTGGACTGAAGGGTTAAAATGCATGCCTAGGGCATAAACATAGACTCTGCACTTTGGGGGTGATTTAAGACCCCTACTTTTCAATGCAAGCTGCCCAGAAATGTCAATTTTATTTTGTTTTAATTTCCTAGGACTTAAAATGTCACAGGTAATGGAGCCTGTCCTCCAGGGTTATAACTAAAATCTCAACTAGAAAATCGAGGAAAGATTTTTTTAGGGGCGGGGGGCTCTTTTTGAGACAGAGTCTTGCTATGCAGTTCAGGCTGGCCTTGAGCTCACTTTGTAGCCCAGGCGGGTCTCGAACTTGCAATGATCCTCCTGCCTCAGCCTCGCGAGTGCTGGGATTACAGGTGTGCAACACCACGCCTGGAGAGCAAAGATTTTTAAATATGATCCAGACACTTGAAATATGAGAAAAGCAAGGGACCTAGACAGCATCCTATTCACATAGTGAAAAAGAAAGGCCCAGACTGAAGAGACTTGTCCTTGGCGTGGTTGGGCACCCTGGCCTACTACTTGGTGGTGGTGGTGGTGAGGGAGCTGGCCACACCCCAGTTTGGCCTCTGCCTCCATAGCAGATCCTACAATTTGTACCATCTCCACAGAATCAAAAAGATTAGAAAGAGGGGCTCATAAATCATTTTTCTCTCATGAGCTTACAGTGTTTTCTAAGGAGTTCAAAAGTACTCAGTAATAAAACAAGGTGATGAGTTTAAGTCTTTTGCATTTAAAATGAAATTTTATTTAAACTCATGGAGAGGCTTTTTTAAAAATTTAGGATATTCTCTGTTATTTCAAGGTTTTGCCCTGTGCATTTTCTGTGGATGGGTGGGTGGCAAGAGTGGTTGAGAGGGAGGGAGAGGGGTCTGTGTGTATCCATACCACCCCACCCAGGTTCTACAGACTGTCTGAACACCTGGCACGCTGTGGCAGATGAAGCCCTCCTGTCTATAGCTTTCCAACAAGTCTCAACAACAACCCAGAAGTCTTCCACCCCATCCACAGCCTGCTGGCCTGGCTATACTTCTTCCCTAAGCCATTTAACTTTTTTTTCTCTGCACAGCAGGGAATTGAACCTAGGACCTTATGCAATGGTAGGCAAGGGCTCTACTGTTGGGCTGCATCTGGCCTTCTTTCTATGTCTTTTGTGCCTCTTTCTGCTGTCAATTTCTTGTATAGCCACCAAAAATGAAGTAGAAGGAAAATCATGTTATCTACGCTGTCTATGAGGATTACTTTGCCATCCTTTACCCTAATCTTTTGTTCTTGCCTTTGGGAGCTTAGAAAAAAAGAAAACACAGTTAGCAAAGTTAATGAAAATGAAATTGAAAACAACCACATTTGACTGATGGATAGATGGATGGATGGATGGATGGATGGATGGATGGATGGACGGACTGAGACAAGGTCTTGTTTTGTAGTTCAGGCTAACCTTGAATTCACAATATAGTTCAGGCTGGCCTCGTACTCAAGGCAATCCTCTTGCCTCAGCTTCCCAGAGTGCAGGGATTACAGGCATGCACCACCACACCGACTAACAGCCACATTTTAGGAAGATGAGAGACAGAGACAGGGTGGCAGCTTTTAAGCAAAAGTGAGACTGTCTTATTTTGGCCCCAAGCAAGCATTTCTGCTAATGATTTCATTTACGTGTCAACTCTAAGCCAATGGCAATAACTAACCATATGCAAATGCTGCCTTGCCATCCCCTAGCCTTCCCAAACAAACACGGGGCTGCTGCTCTCAGCCAGGCAGAACCACAGACTTAGTTCCTACCCCTTTGCACTGAATTACTATTTGGTAAATGAATAAACCCAAAAAGCACTTAACAGTTCAATATGTCTAAGGTTTCCATTTTCCCCCTTTCACAGGCCACCAGGCCAAACCAGTCAAAACTCTCCAAGTAAAACCATAGCATGGTTGTCTCAGGAGGGGAGGAAATAATAGAGTGTCCCTATGAGCACTGTTTCAACCCATTTATTGATAGAACAGACACAGAGATGGAGCCTTAACAGAATAGGGCAAAGTGAATGAAGCCAAAGCGCTGAGTGCTACATAGAAATGACTTAAGTACAGGAGAAAACAGTGTATTAGGAGCAGAATATCCACAAGGAAAGCACTATGCCTACCCTCTGTCTGTAACTGGCATTTTTCCTAGGAAAATATTAAAATATTCTCAAGAGTGTCACTATTCTTCTACCACCATTAAGCAGCTCTGGTCAACTATTTAAACAATGAAGTATCAGAGCCTAAACTACCTAAAACACCTTGACTCAATGTCAAACCAAACTGCAAACCAGACAGTAATTCCTCTGGGTTTTCCCCTCTTCGATAAAAAAGAAGGAAATTTGACAAGTGTCCTCAAAACAAGAGACACAACAATCACAAATTAGATGGGTGAAGGACTCTGGGTCAGAGGTTATTCAGGAGACATTGGCAGGGGCTTCTTTGAGTCTCTCTGACTCTTTGAGTCAAAACTACTTCTCTGATTTCCTAAGAGAGTCTAAAGTGTAAAGCACTAGAACAAATTCCCACCCCATTTTAGCAGTCTATTGCATAGTACCTATAAGTGCAACATTTGAGAACATTAAAAAATATCCAGGCAATAACATTACCCTTAGGGGATACCACTTTTCCTTCAACCAAAAATTCAAATAACTTTGTCCGAACCTTTCCTTTTAACAAAATGATCTACTTTAAAACAGATTGTTACCTGTTATATTTTAAGGTCCTTGATGGATGGTTTTCCAAAGTAAATTTATTTCTATCTTATACTGCAGTCAGAAGTAATGTTGACTTTCTTGGCTAAAAAGTCTTTTTTAGTACTTCTAAATGGGGTGACAACACCAATGGCAGCAAATGTTTTTTGAAGGCTCACTCTAGCACAAGGCATTTGCATCTCATCTCACCTCCTAACCACCCTATGAGGTAAGTTCTAAACAGGACCATAATTGCTGTCTACCATTCTAAAACCAAAACAGCTCTAAAACCCAAAAGTTTTTCCATAACTTACTTGGCAGCAAAACTTAATGGATCTGAACTCATCTGGAGGCAAAGCTGCCCTGACCTAACATGAGCTATTTTGATTTTAGCTATCCCACTTAATGTGAATATCCATATGGCTTGCTACACCAATATGAAGGTGTATGATTACTGAGTGTTGCCCCAGATTCCCTGGAGATTACTTAATAGAAAATAATTCTCTCTAAGCTCTCCCAGTCTCAGAATTCTAAAACATCTGGCCTGAAGGAGGTAAGATAAAGTACTGTAAAAGTACTATTATCAACCCATTTTATAGACAAGAAACTGAGACTTCTTGAGGGAAAGCAACTTGCCTGAAGCCACCAAGGAGACAATAGATAAGGCCAACTGAGGCTGGCAGCCTCCTTCAGACCCTGAGTCTGTGAACATCATTAACAGGCTGCTGCAGGACACGTCTGAGTCCTCAACTCACCCAACTTCAGCCATGATGGAGAGCTGGGCTGAACTGGCTCTTCCCCATAACCAACTATGGTGGTACCGCAGTTTATGAATTTGTTTTATGATTTTGAGGAAGATGGCCGTGGTCCTGTTTGCCACCTGATATAGAATTTGCAAATGGAGGCAAGATTTTGCCAAATGCTTTTGCTTACAAACCCAACTGTTGGCAAACAGAAGTGTTCGTCAACCAAAGTATTACTGTATTGGAAACGTTGGGGGAAATGATTGAGTAAAAAACATCAACCAGAACAACAGCAATTTGGAGGGCTGGGTGCTTACCTTGCCCAGGACAGTGAGGCATGGTTTTGGGTCCAATTCTGGCTGTTCCAGCTTCACCACTCCTACCCAGCCATATTCATACAAGTCCTCCTCATCATTGTTATTACACAGGCCCAGCGGGTGCATCTAGGAGATAAAATGGAAAAAAAATTTCAACAGGCCAGCTACATTATTTGCTGGTTCATACTGTGTACTTCTCCTATTCCAGCCAAAAGTAGGCTTAAAACTTTAAGGCAGGAACAGTTTTATCAACTTTTGAGGGATCCCATTTCAGGACAATAAGCAGAGGACTGAGGAGAACACAATTAAGTTACTATATAAACATATTTTATGGATGCCTTCTCTCCGCTTTCTAAATGGTGGTCATTCAAGGTAGAAAGGTAGTAGAGGAAAAAAACACCATAACTCCCATACAATGCCAATCTAAATTGCTGTGAAATACCATAAATTTAACATTAAGTACCAATTATATAATGAGATAAGTACCAATTACATAATGGCTTCTAGATCTTAACAACACATTTACTCCCACTTCTACAAAAGGACCTGAAGATAAATCCAGGACTCTACAGAAAGACAATTAGAAACTGGGAGAATCACAAGTATAACTAAGAAGCTATAGAAGGCTATATCCTTGGCTACTTGGAAACAGATGAAATTTTTTGAGGTCTTTTTCAAATTTGCAAAATTAAAGATAGGTAGAAATATCATATTTTCTCATGTAAAAAATTGAAAACCAGAGCAATCCTAAGATTCACGCTCACAGTGTTATCATTAAATTGTAGTAAGCCCTCGAACCCCTAAAAATAATCTGGAAATTCAAAATCTTGTGGATAAATGTGACTTAACAAGAAGCGCATGAACTCAGCACCATGGGTCCTAAGCTCATACGTAAGTGGAAGATATGCCTTTAGATCTGCAGCAAGTCAAAGACATAGGAGACCTAAGAATCCACTGTGGACAGAATAACAGCCCCCAAAGACATTTATGTCCTAATCTCCAGACCCAGTGAATAAATTACCTCACATAACAAAAGGTGCTTCCCGATGTTACCAAGCTTCAGATGGGGAAGGTTCCCTGGGTTCTCCAGAGGAGATGAATGTATTACAAGGGTCCTTAAGAGGAAGAGGAGGCATGAGAGAAATACAGAGATGTGGCAACAGAAGCAGAGACCAGAGTGATATGCTTCAAAGATGGAGAAGTAGATCATTAATCAAGGAAAGCAGGCAGGCCCCAGAAGTTGGAAAACTGAAGAAAACAGACTGTCCTCTAGAGCTTCCAGAAGGAATGCAGCCCGGCAGACTCATTTTGGACTTTTGACTTCTAAACTGTCAAGAGAATAAATTGATATCGCTTTAAGCCACTATGTTTGTTGTAACTTGTTATAGTAGCAAACAAGAAACTAATAACCTACTTTCTCCCTCTCTCATTTTACAGGTAAGAGGTTCAAGATAAGTGTCTGTACCAAGATAACACAACCAACAAGTGGCATACCTAGAGGTGACCCGGCCCTTGGATTGACAGTCTTGTGCCTTCTCACTCTGCCTGATTACTTCCTGGTCCCTTTCTCTGACAGCTGCCATCTGACTAGGGAAAAGGACCAAGACAGCGAATCTAATTTCTGCTGTATTTGAATGCAACATGAGTTTATCACAAGCAGCAGGGGTTGCTAAAATGTTTGGGGGAACTCTGTGCAGCTGCTGAGCCTCAAGTCAGCTTTGAAGGAAGGGGGAGACTCATCAGGCAAGCTAGTCCTTCTAAGCCTTGGAAAGGGTTGCTAAGAGATGACATGGAAGGGGAAGGAGAATGAGATTGTTCTGATCAGTAGACAGCAGAAAGGGTCTCACAGTCCACACAGAGGAGGCAAAGAGAAGGCACAAACACCAGAAGGGAGTCTGGATACCAAGGCAGTATCACAGGTCCTGTGGCAGAACAAGGCACAGTGAAATGGATGTTTAGGTGGATGAGTTGACAGGCCTTGGGACAGCAGTGTGCCTGGGCTCCAGAGACAACGAGGGGAGGGCAAAGGGTATGGCTCAAGGATGAAAGGTTCTTGGAACCTGAATCCCATGGAACAATGTACAAGGGGTTACAAAAGTCCAAGGTGCTAAAAGGTGCTGCCAGCAGCTGTCTTTGCAGTGGTTGAGCACCCCCAGTACTCCTGAGAATTCCAAGGCATGAGAAGGGGTGGTGGGGAGGGTAAGGGAAGGGAGGAGAAAGAGGGTTCTCAGAAACCCAATTTTTACAAGTCCCCATGCTCAAAGAGTTTGTTTGCTCAAAGGACCAATGAAGTTTCCACAGTACAATGCTTAGGCCACTCTAGAATGTTCTACCATTATTAAAGGGATGAGTAGCTTGAGACTAGTGACTAGAAGGAGGAGGAATTAGGATGATAAACCAATTGCGTCAACGGCTCAGCCATCTTTGATTTCCAGGAAAAGGCTTGAGGTCCAGTTCAAGCCAGCAGGATTCAAGCATGCTTCCTGAAACCTCAGGTCCACTCTCAGCAATGGTGCACATACTTCTGACCCTTTCTAATGTATCCTATGACACTTTTCACCTGGCCACATGACTTAGAGATTTTTACACAGATTACTGTTTAAGTTACACAGTATATTTTGGGTGTTTGGTCAGTGATAAAGAGCTGTTTTGAAGGAACAGAGGTATCATTCAGGTCTGATCTTTAGTGGTATCATTATCAAAATTTTATTAAAGAAAGGAAGCCCAGAACATTGTATGGGTACATTTATATAAAATGTTTGAAACAGGCAAATCCATAGCGAGAAAGGAGACCAGTGGCTGCCATGGGCTTGGGGACAGAAAAATGGAGAGTGACTATTTAACGGGTACAGAGTTTCCTCCTAGGGGTGATGACGAAAATCAGTAGTTCTCCTAGGAGAACTACATAATGGTAACAGCTGCACAACACTGGGAACATATTAAATGTCAGTAAAGTATATGCTTTTATATGGTGGATTTCATATGCATTTTACCACAATAAAATGTTTTTTTAAAAAATCCAACAGCCAGGTGTGGTGGTGCACACCTATAATCCCAGCACTTGAGAGGCTGAGGCAGGAGTAAATGGGTTCAAGACCAATCTGAACTAGACAGTGAGGCCCTGCCAAAAACAAACAAACAATCCTACAAGTTTACTCAGAAATCACTGCAACCTATCTACTCTTGCCCACAATTAACATGATGAGAACCCACAGTAGAGAACAATATGGTTTCTACTCTTCTAGAACTGAAGCCAACTACAGCAGCTCTTCTAGAAATTCTGTTCTTCAGAATACTGACCCAGTAAGATAAAAAAAAAAAGTTCTTATGCAAGTAAATAACACTGAGAAATACTTCATATAAACTCTTAGGATCTATATTCATAAAGTTCTGCAGAACACTGGTTTAATAAACAAAGTTTTCAATCTTGGCTAAAACTATCAATTCCTTCTCTGATTTACTGTAAGATTATTTTGAGTTTAATATGATCACACGGTTTCATGGGACACACTTTAAGAAATGCTAAGAAAGGGAGAACACATATACCCACGTGAAAGGACAAACCTACAGTAAATATGGTCTAAAACAAAGCCGAATGTCCTCAAATATTGACTAGTCATGATATAAAGAGTAAAGGCTACGGTGGAAAGAGATGAGAGGGCAGTCAAGGACTGCGAGGGAGAGAAAGCAGACACTGGGAGGGTGGCAGATGTGGAGAGGGAAGGAAGCAAGAGCAATACAAGCCCAGGCCGAGCCCTGACCCATTGCAGCAACCATGAGAAGGAAGTGGGTCTTACCAGGCCAGAGGTCATGTTGCAAAGAAGCAGAACTTAGGGCCACTGCAAGGACATGACAAGGGCACATTCCCTGGGCACACAGAAATCTCAATTATGTGAGTAAGCATCAAACACACCCCAAGAGTCCCTGAAGATCTGTCAGGGTCCACTCAAGTCTGTCTGGCCAGCACCTTGAGCTGCTTTTCGCACCAGGTTCTCTCTTTCCCATCCTCAGCATTCCCGCTCTTCTTCTCTCCCAGACTCCCCTATCAGACCTTCTGCTGACACTGGAGTGACTGTTAGCGGCTCAACACATCAGCCTTGTCAAGGGTGCTGACTTCTGAACAAGACTGACGACTTAAACCAAAAGGAATTTTTCTAAAGTACCAGTATGTACAACCAGTTGCTGTGTGTTTGTTTTCATGTGGGAGGTAAAGAAACAACTAAAATCACATCTCACCATCCTTGCCTACCTCCATCTCAAGTTAATTCTTTTCTAAAATCCTTATTCTTGTTTACATCCCCAGGTCCCCAAACTTGCTACTACCTCTCTCAGGCTAGCTGGCCTCTTTGAGCCACCTGACAGAGATAATATTGTAAGATTCAGGCTGCTGTCAGCTCATCTCTGACAATAGAATTAGCTTCCAGAAATGCTAGCCATCCCAAGCCTCCAGCTAACTACGTCCCAGAGTTCTCTTCACCCAAGGTCACCACATTATGAGTTCAGGAGAATGTCTTACAGGGAAGTAGAAGTAATCATAGTATGAACATATCTATAAAAGAGATGACCTATCATAAAGGGTGGAATCTTCCAGGGAAAATACTGGATCCAAATGAATATGCCACATCTAGGAAAAGTGAAACAGGGGCCTTTCCCATGTAACGAACATATACTAGGCTCTGCATTTATATATTAATCTTTAATCCTTACGGCAAATAAGCTGCAAACTAGAACCGGGAATCAGCAACCAAGGAAGAACTGAATGGAGTCCGTGAAAGTCATATTAGTACCGCAAATGACTGAAGCCCACTCAAAGCCAATGGCAAACAATCTAGTTAGGGAGTAAGGGGGAAATATGTATGGGAGTGTCTACAGTGAATGGCCAAAGTGCAAGGAGAAAGCACTGGGAAAAGTGAGAGTCCGCACTTGAAAAATGATTCTTGATGAAGGATACTACACGCACATTCTCAGATAGTTCTGCTGAAAGTGTCCCATGCTACCCGCACAAGATGCACAAGATTCACTGTGTTTATTCTCAAAAATCGGTACAAGGCTTATAATCACAATTTCATTTGTTAAATTAAAAAAAAATAAAACTGCCAGGCACAGTGGAGCACACCTCAGCACTT